GGCATGTTGTGCCAAATTCAAAGTTCTCTACCCGACCAGGCTACTATTCCCACTGGCTCACACAACACCAACCTCAACACCAGCATGTCAACGTTGCTGATGAACTCCCCGGCAGACGAAATAAGTGGCTTTTTCAAGTCCCCGATCTTCTGTGTGCGAGTCTGTGAGTAGCTATGCGAGTCTCTTGGTCTCCACGTGGGTCAGAACGGCGTCTATGGCTGTGTCTGTGAGTCTGTGTGCGCTGTCTGCGCCGGTGGATAAAGCACAGCAAGTTGTAGATTTGAAGCTTTCGTGACTGCAAGGATTCATATTCTTGGGTTTTTTCGGTAAAGTCACGTAGGTGAGTCACGTAGGTGACTTTACCGAAAAAACCTAAGAACACCGCAAGTTGGCACAGTAGGGGGCACAGGTGGTGCATCAGCCAGTCATCTCGGTCAGTCGACCCGTGGCACCTGCTGGGTCTGCCCCGTGACCTCCTGCCAGCGGGCGTTCGACACTTCACGTGGCAGCCTCAAGGCACACTTGGCCTGGCACAAGCGTCGTGGTGACGTCACCGCCACTTAGTGGCGAATGGTGGTTGTTGTTGTTGCTGTCTGTGCGAATTGTCGCTCTCCATCCACGGACCACGAATTCACAACGCCACTGCCCCTGGTCGCCCGCTCAAGTCTTCACCAACTTCGACACGAACAGACAAGCACTGCCCCCATCGCCTTCCATGACATAAGAATGGACCCAACAATGGATAACCCCGAGCATGTCCACAACTTGGGCCGGCCCCCACCCCACCACCCTGACTAAAGAGGGCCCATCTACATCCAACTTGAAGTGGCCAGTTGCAGTTACACGGTTCGCTCGCCTCTGTTCACAACAGAAAGGGTGCCACTCTTACGTCCAAGGCAAATCTGATCAGCATGGGCCACCTGGATGAGGGTAAAAGGGTCCCAGCAACCTTGTTGCGATGGTTGCGAGACCCCCAACCTTGGCTGAAACGTCCCCTCGTGTTCATTGAATGGAGGAGGCCACGTGTGTTCATAAGCACCGTCGCTTTGCTGTACAACACAAAATGAACTCCAGACATTCCCCACCCCTACGCCGTAGTGTGATGATGGGGGGTAGGAGTTGCTTGACCTTACTTGGCCAAAGCTCGCCAGCACTAACGGGTTGTTGAAGAAGGGTTTGGGGGAAGGACATTACCGTGTCCGATATGACTTGCCCCACCGACGTTAGCCGTGGCCAGGAATGTTAATTTGTTTGAATCGCTTTGTTCCGTGTTGCCAGCCGAGCGGTGCTGTAATGCGATTTGTACTTTTACCGTGAGTGGAGGCCTCGAAACAGCAGCTGCCACGTGGTGGTGGTGGTGGTGGTTGCCGACGCGGTCATTGGGAGGCAGCAGAAGGACAGCGCGGTCAAAATAAAATTGTAGCGATGTACCTCTGTGATATCGTCTCTCTGTGCTGCTCTACGCGGCTTTACGAACGCGGCGTGGTAAAGTACGACCCCCCGCACACCACTCATCCAGCAGTGGACTGACATGGCCACCATGGACGGCGTGACTTGGCAGGGTCACGTGTTGCGCCGCACGTGCAATCACGTGTTCATTCAATGCGGTACTGCACCCCAAGGCCCGGAGCCTTGGAGTCAACATTGGGGGGGGGACCAAATCTTCCAGGGTGTGTGGGGGTCCCAACCCAGAAAAATATCGACATTTGAAAACTAATTTTCTGCCTAAAATATTTAAAAATTCACTAACACATGGAATGGACTTTTTTTATTTCTTACAATAATGTCGAATAGTGTATTGTATTACATTGCTCTGTTTTAACTTTTTTACCATTTCTTGTTTCATTGTCTGTAATGGCAGAGATTAAGGATTAATAAAGTACAACCATAACAACAATCATATAAACATAAATCTATGCGTTGATTTATGTGAAGACAAGTCCAGATATTGTGGCCAAGTTTTAGCAAATTGTTGTTTTTATTTACATAGCATAGCAATTATACATATTTTATAGCAATATATTCGGGGGGGGACATTTTGAGCATTTTTGAATATTGGGGGGGGGATGTGTCCGCCCCAATATATATTATAATTACGTCCTTGCTGCACCCAAAAGCCCTTGTTTCACCAGACTCCAAGCAAATACGGTAACGTTGTACATCGCCTGCACGCGCTTCACGCGCCCCATGATTGCTCGACACGCCCCTAGTGCTGTTAGCTTGAATACGTCTTTTTGTACAATACAGCACGTGGTGTGCTATGAACAAGGGCTATTGCCCGAAACGTTGCCGTATATGTTGTTTCGTTTAAAGGCCACAGTGCTATTGAGGGATGTTGAAATTGTTGTGTGTTCAGCGTGTTAACCAATCATCAGGCGCGTGCGGCGCGTAACGGTTTCAGTTTTTAACCTACAGATTTGTAGAGATGAACAAAACGTAAATCCCTGCCTGGTTATGTAATCACACGCTAATTTGATGCGTAATAACCGGTCTGCTGTGGCAATAACGATTGCACAATCGTGTCATCGACAGATATCCATTCGTGACATAACACGAGACCAGCTCTCGTGCGAACACGACAATCATATAAACACGAACTTTTATTTTCATCAACAAATCCGGAATTCCTCGTCAAAATATATCGGCGCCATAAACCCACGGCGCTTTCCCCTGGGGTGACGGCGGTCAAGAGTAGTTACGGAGTGGCAGTCAAAGGAGTGGAACGCGTCCTCCAACGGGACCATCAGCCGAGGAGATGGAGCGGTGGCAATCGGCGCGAGGTGCGCCTGCCGGAGAGAGGCGAGACCGGGGGGAGGGTGGGAATCGTTCCACATGGGGGAGACGGCGGAGACGGATTCTTTGGAGAGGGCATTCGTCCAGCAGTTGATCGAACGATTCTGATGTTGATGAGCCCTGGACCAAAATGAACGAGGGAACGCCAGAAAAGGAAACCCCCCACAACAACAAAAACAAAACCCCGCTGTGAGTTGTCAGGCGGTCGCTTTTGCGGTCCCAAAATCGACTCCCTCGTCTTGCACGGACATCGCCCTCGGCTTTGCATGACAATGGCCCATTGCAGGGCCCCCGCATCTGCTATCTGTCCCGAACCCAGGGGCCCTTGTGTCTTTATAAAACTTCCCTAACCACCACCACCAACCCCTTCCCCTTCTGAGAATGTCTTGGACGAGGTCCTTCCCGCCCCCTCTTTCTCACCCCACGGCCGACTACGAGCCGTGCGGAACGCGCCGATGAGACCTCAATTGAGGGTAAAACACAAACAAAAACCACGGCTAGATTTATATTTTTCGGGTCGCCTGGCATCGACTGGAAAAACAAAAGGTGGCAAGTAACTTGGTAGCCACAACTGTAGCGAGAGGTGTGCACTGTAGAGTGTTTTCAACTTCTTTCGCACCGTACGTAGCCAACCGTGCTAATCGGAGGTATGATATATGTGGTGTGCCGGGTAGGTACATCAGAATCACATCAGAATCTGTATTTATCCGGGAGGAATCCGATGAGCTATGAAGCTCTTTTTCACAGATCTCGAGTAGGGTACTGTAAGGGGCCATCCATTGAGTATGTTCGCAAAAATCTGTCAAAACTTGACCCCCCCCCCCTCCCTGTACGCACGAGGACTTTTTACACCCCCCCCCCCCGAATCCTATAGAACGGCCGATATTTAATCCACGCAGAAACGATCAAGAATTCATCATATTAACGTGTTTAAGCAAACAGATAGTCCACCGTCGGCTGCATTAAAGAATTAAGTTGCGTACCTTGGCCACTTATTTTGCTGAGCTGCGTGATAGCTGCAGTCAGGGGCACGGTGGCACACAAGTGACACCTCTCCCACAGTGCCACTTCTCCCGCTAGTACTTGCTCTGACAGCTGAAGACACTGAACTGTGGCTCGTTTGAAGGCCAATGTAGACAAATTATTATCGAGGCTTCAACCCCCCCTCCCCCCCCCCCCCCGTTTTCTATGCGGACATTGTCAGTAGACCCCCCATACGCAAGTGTATACGCATTTGGGTTAACCACCCCATCCATGCGTACGGACTAAATGGATGGTCCCTTACGTGCCTCCAATACGTCACGGTATCTATAACAATACACCTGTACAGTGCAATCTGTAAGTATTATTACTAAACAGTCCCTTTGTCAATCCATGGCTGGATGAAGGCCTTGCCACGTTGTGCGGGGTCGTGGGAGTGATGTTGACCATACTTCACTCGCCACTCGTGTAACCGCCGTGTCCGGGAATCTAACTCGGTTCTTGTGATCGTGGGGTTCCATGAGCAAGCAGTGCGCTAACCACTGGCACCAAACCGCTCGCCCCCTTGCTCCCTCTCCGCACTTTGGATTTCTAGAGCTTTCTAACGCAGCTGCCATCTCAAGTGGCTGACACAAACCACTTCCTTGATGGCCTGTCCGCCAAGACGTTGAGTAAGGCCGAGTGTGTCTACCAGGGGCCCAATGGTGGACATCTCTCATGGCTCAATGGATGCCTCCAGTATGCATACAGATTCTGATTCTGAAACACCTGCATTGCAAGTGTTCACCACGTATACACTCGTACCCTCCCTCTCTATCTCCCTGCCATGAAGAAGGGCGATTACCCGAAACGTTACCTATTGTATGGTGTCCTCTTCACCACAGTGTTATTGACGAACCTGTTGAGTATTTATTTTTATGTATCAGCGAGCAAAATACTTCCCGTGGTTATGAGTTCATTCAACTTCGCAAAATTATCCACGTGTCACTTGCCATCTTCGGTTTAACACAAATCACGCACAAACGTGGACGGAATCCCAAACAAATCCCAACATATAAACGAGTACATCCCATTGGGGAATCCATTGCTCATGACCGTACTTCACCACACTGGTCAGTGCAGGTTGGTAAACGTTGAGAGTACAGAAGAGCAATGCATTCCTCTGCTGCCCACAATGCCAAGAGCGCCCCAGCGTTTTCTCCAGCTCGTCGTGGCCACTCACTCACAGCTTTGTCCAGGCTTGACATCTGCTTGGCTTGCGAGGTCTGACCGGATTGGGCCCCCCCCCCACCCCGGTGATTTGGCCCAGGGCCAAGTGAAGGATACCGCGGGTTGCTGAGCACAGGACAAAAACACCAAGCGGTCAGCAACAAAGTGCACCGTTGAACGAAGGTGCATTTTTGCTGCGGCCGTCTGGAACGCTCTTCCGATATTAGGAAGCCACTGGAGCTATGCACTTTTAGATCCAGCTTGAAAACTCGTGTCTTTAGAACTGCGTTTAATGTTTAGTTTGTTGTCTTTCCCCCGCACTTCCGATTATCACGGTTGGCTACGTACGGTGCGAAATAAGTTTAAAACACATACAGCAGCTGATGCCCTTCTTGAACGGAGAAAGGGGTTGATTACATTCTTGGGTAGGGTAATGTGTTCGGGAAAGAGCAAAATAGGCTTGGAAAAAGAAGCGACGATGATGATGGTGGTGGGGTGGGGAGGTTTGGGAAAGATATATTTTTTTTAAAGTAGAGCAGTGCGCTCGGGAAGACGCAAGTCAGAGAACGAGACACGTGTGGGTGAGTGCACCAGAGAGAGTGAGAGACAGAGGGTGAGAGAGTGGATTCACAAACGGGTCGTCGTGTGGCCGCTACTCCCCGTGACTTCTCCCCACGCTATCGGTGCCTCTTCTCTACGCTCGCCACGCGCGCCGTTTGATGCTCGTGACAGCCGCCGTCTACAGAGCGCGTGAATATCGAGGGCATCGTCGTAATGCGCGCAAGACAGGACGCGGAACGCGAGGGAGATGGAGCGATGGATCTGACCCGGCTCCGTGTTGAGCGGGTGCGGAAGGTGGATGGTTAACATCGCAGACGTGTGAAGGGGTGGCCACTGCCTTCATCCAGCGGTGGATATATCGTGACTGAAATGAGCTATATGCTTCAATCGATATCTGAAATGCGCAGTGTTTGGTGTAGTATCCTGTATGTACTGTAAGGTACATGCTGAAGTGTGTGTTTGTGTACGGTATGGTAATATACTGCTCAAGAGTATATTCTGTATGTGTACTGTAATAGATACTGTCGGATATATATATATAAACTGTAGTTTATATACTGTCGTGTAAAAACTCTAGGTTATACACAGACTGTAGTGTATATACGGAAGTAAGTAAACTGTTGTGTATTTATACCGTAATCTATATAATATTATTTAAATACTGGAGTGTGTACTGTGTATATATTGTTGTGAATATATATACGGCATGGTAATACTGTATACTCGAAGGCTCATAGAGACATTGCACAAGAGCTGATAATCTTATCAGATCTCGCCTGCCCGTTACTCTAACGGTTCGCGGACGTTCCCGCCGCACGCGTGTGAACGTTGAACTTCTTTCGCACCGTACGTAGCCAACGGCGCTCATCGGAGGCGCTTACAACTTCACGAAGTTGAAGCGAGCAACCAGGACGGCACGAGCAACTCCCGTCCCAGAGCAACATTGACCCCCCAACAACGTCAATCACCCCGAGCCAAGAAGCGCGCACACACAACAACAACAACAGCAGCAGCATATAACACACTTACGAAGGCACTAACCGGCGTAGGTTGATCTTTACTTTGTTGTTTGTATGTTCCACTTGCGTGTGTTTTTTGCGAACTAATATAAAATAATATAACTATACTGCGTAATGTGTGTATATATATATAAACTAGAAGAAGAAGCAGAATGGGGACTAGAACAGGGAGAAAAAAAAGTGAAGTTTATTTTTTTTTCCGGCTGCACGCAACTCGCCGCAGAAACTTCCGAAAAAGTTTTTAAAAGTGTGGCCACGTGACGACCTCCCACGTCACTCCTTTCACAATCGATGAGAGGCGAGGGGAGAGGGGGGGGCGAGAAACGGGGGGGGGGTGAGGGATGGGGTCCCCCAGTGGGACCCCCACCCACCCACCACCACCCCCCAGCACGGACCCCCTGAGATGCTGTTGGGGGTTGCTAGCCGTGTGACCCCTCCACACCCACACGCACACTCACGCACACACGCACACACACACATGCACAAACCCGCACACACACACACACGCGCTCACACACGCACACAGACACGCACAAACACACGCGCACACACGCACACACACACGCGCACACACACGCGCACACACACGCACACACGCACACACACGCGCACACACGCATGCACACGCACAAACACGCACACACGCATGCACACACACACGCACACACACGCACACACGCATGCACACACAAGCACGCACACGCACACACACACGCACATACACGCACACGCACGCACACACACATACGCACAAACAACAAGCGCCATTCGCCACTAAGTGGCGGTGACGTCACCACGACGCTTGTGCCAGACTATGTGCACGTTGAGGCCATGTTGAGTGTCGAACGCCCGCCGGCAGGAGGTCATGGGGCAGACCCAGCAGGTGCCACGGGTCGACTGAACTGAGATGACTGGCCGATGCACCACCTGAGCCCCCTACTGTGCCAACTTGCTGTGCTTTAGCCACCCGGCGCTCCGCTCGTTGTTGTGAGCGTCGCTCCTCCGCCCTCCGTTGTTGTTGGAGGGCGACTGCCTCCAACCACCCAGTAGCAGCGTCCTTCACGAGCCTCCTCCACACACACACACGCCGCGCGCGCTGTCTGTGCGTGTGAGTTCTTAATTCAACCTAGGTCGACTCAGCCTTAAATGAGTACCTGGTGTGGTGCGTAAGGCATCGGCACTGGGGAGACAAAGGTGGCTGTGCGTGTTGTTGGCCACCCCACCCCATCGCGTGCCGTTCCAGGTGCTCGCGAACAGCACTTGCCTCAATAGGGTATTCAATTCCATACGGGGGATCTTTGTCTAGTTTTATTTAATTATTTAAGCGTAGCTACGATCAGTCCTGCAGCGTGACCGTATTTAAAGAAGGTGGGGGGGGGAGGGGAATACAAACTCAGTGCAATTTTTTTTTTAAACAATTGTCAAACGCTAAACAACATGAGTCCCCGATGCGGTCTGCTTCTATCTCTAGTAACTTCTACTCTGGCCACTCACCCCCTGTGTATGCGGGAAGTGAGTGTGGGGGGTTACCCCCTTCAGCCCCCCCCCCCGCATGATACAGGGCTGATCCACTGCTGGATGAGGTCCTACAGGACTACACGAATGGGTGATGCTGCACTGCCCTCTGCTGCCCACCACGGCGCCACGCAGTAGCCCTTAGATGCGCGTCTCACCTCGCAGATCTTCCACCATCTGACCAACACGGGGCACACATTGCGGGTGTTGACGCGGTGGCTAGGAGATGTTAACTACCTCGCCTGGTATACAGGAGGTCGTGGGTTCGATCCCAACCCTGACGCCTGCTGCTGTGTATTTGGAGTCTGCGTGTCTCTCTCTCTCTCTCATCATCATCACGGTGGTTAGATGTTAACAACCTCGCCTGGTATGCAGGAGGTCGTGGGTTCGATCCCAACCCTGACGCCTGCTGCTGTGTATTTGGAGTTTGCGTGTCTCTCTCTCATCATCATCACGGTGGTTAGGAGATGTTAACAACCTCGCCTGGTATGAAGGAGGTCGTGGGTTCGATCCCGACCCTGACGCCTGTTGTATATTTGGAGTTTGCGTGTCTCTCTCTCATCATCATCACGGTGGCTAGGAGATGTTAACTACCTCGCCTGGTATGCAGGAGGTCGTGGGTTCGATCCCGACCCTGACGCCTGTTGTATATTTGGAGTTTGCGTGTCTCTCTCTCATTATCATCACGGTGGCTAGGAGATGTTAACTACCTCGCCTGGTATGCAGGAGGTCGTGGGTTCGATCCCGACCCTGACGCCTGTTGTATATTTGGAGTTTGCGTGTCTCTCTCTCATCATCATCACGGTGGCTAGGAGATGTTAACTACCTCGCCTGGTATGCAGGAGGTCGTGGGTTCGATCCCGACCCTGACGCCTGTTGTATATTTGGAGTTTGCGTGTCTCTCTCTCATCATCATCACGGTGGCTAGGAGATGTTAACAACCTCGCCTGGTATCCAGGAGGTCGTGGGTTCGATCCCGACCCTGACGCCTGCTGCTGTGTATTTGGAGTTTGCGTGTCTCTCTCTCACGTCGTGGTCGCGTGTCCCACCACATTTCGAAACACGCGTTTGGTTTTTGGCTGTGATACATTTCCACGCGATAAGCCACTTTGTTGAACTATCACTTGTGGCCAGGTCGCTTCTGAAAAAGAGCTACATTGCCCAGTGGACATTACCTGGTCACATAAAAAAAATAGATTATAGTGGTAATCCAGGGACAGTGCAGTGGGATTCTACTTTGCAATGTGCAAGCCTGGATCGACTCATAACCAACAATAAGCAATGATTCGTACAGGTCCATACAGATTTCCGTGCAATCCTTTCAATCCACTGCTGGATGAAGGCATCTCCACGCCGTGTCGGTCATGGGGGTTGTTCGACCATACTTCACCACGCTGGTTAGTGTGAGTTGTTGAATAGGGGGCAGCCGTATCAGATCGAATGTCTTCTCGCAACTGATGTGAGCCGTGACGGGAAATCTGGCTATCCTTGCTTGGTTCATGGTGCAGTGCGTGAAACGATTGTGCCACCAAATAGACCACAACTTACAGTACAGGCTAAGGCGCAGGCCATCAATTACTTGGTCACGGCACTGCGAGCAGAAGGACCGTCATAAATTATGGATTACTTTTTTTCACAATGAAAGCAATAGTTCAATGAGACTATGGGGCTTTTTGTTGTTAAAAGTAAGACCTTAGTTTAAGTAAGCTCAACAACAACAACAGCGAACAACTTCCCCCTGGGTAAGCAACACAAACACGCAACTTGAGACACTAAAGCTCCCTTCCCAGCCAAAGCAGAACTTGAAGCGGCCGAGTCTGTCGTGCGGTTCCGTAAATAAACAACCCACGGCGGTTGATTTATGAAATGCGTTTGTGTAACTTTATTATTTGCCGGCAGATGTCCGTTTGCAGAAACAATACAACAATGACAGCCCTCGCCGTCGTCCCAGGTGCAGCAAACCACACGGCAGACGCGTGCGCGCTCCACAAAGCGACTACGATAAGTCAGCGTGTTTCCAATGCTCAACACCCTCCCCCACCCCACATTTTTTCCACTGGTGCATCCGAGCCGAGCTAGCGCAGGGCCACCTTACGGAACTCCGGGTAGATATCCACATTTATTTAATATTTTTTTTCTGCAGTTTTTATTGAAAATGCAATATTTGATATCTCAAAAACCTGATGTGATAGACAAAAACTGATGCCAGATTTGGAATCAGCACCCCAAAATTACACTTTATTTTTAAGACATGTTGATATATTACCCGTCATGGGCACGTCCAAAATTACTCCAGCCTGCTATTTGTTTCAATCTCGACCCACGTGGAATTGTTGCCACTAAGTTAATGATACATTCACCAAATGAACACTGATATGTATATCAGATTTACCTGCACATTCATTGAGCTCTGCTCACTTCTATCCAAAGTGTGTATTTCTGCAGCAAGAATTTGCCTTTGTTATTCCTAAACAGTACACGTGACTTAACCGCAAACGCGACCTATCGTGCACCTGCCTCGACAAAATATTCGCGCATACGCGGTTGTGCCATCGCACCCGTTGTTTTTGTTGTGGTATTTGTCACTGCAGATGAACAGACATTCCCTCCACAGGGAATTTGATGCCACAATAGTAAAAGTGCTGCGTAGCCTTCATTCTCCACTGATGCTTTGTGTCCCAAGGGCTTCGTGTGGAGAAGCCCTCTCCGATCACCGTGGGGATAGTTTGGCCCCGACTAAGGCCAACAATAAAACACATTCTTGTGAAGAAAGCTGGTAGGAACGTTGGGTTGCTCGGTCAATGGCCAGGGTCAACGGCGGCGTGGTGTATTCCGCAAATATGGCCGACTGGGAGGGCGGGCACAAGCCGGCGTGAGTCGGTTAAACGTTGAGTTTTATAAGGGCACCACGGGGTGAACAGCCCCTCCCCACCCAGCCCCACCCCTCCCACCCAGCCCCTCCCTGCACGACGGACGGACACAATATTCCCGTGGGCTGGTGTAACCAGGTTCCTACCAGTATTAAACGTCACATCAGCCAACCCACTTTTGAGACAGCGTCGCCTTAAAAAAAACATGCCATTTCCACACACCACTCACTACGGCAGCTTATTCAACAAAGCACTTCAATTAAGCCACCCATATGGTAAGAGCTCGTGTCTTCTCGGGGCTAGAAACTAGCTATGGCAGAAGGCAAAATATTTGTGCCATAAACAAGGCACCACATTTCCACCAGAGCAGGTGGCAGACCCACTGAAGACGCAACTCGCAGTGCTATCCCTACCAGCATTGTTTCCTCGAAAGGGGATGGGGTTTCAAAGTTGGTTTACAGTTTGAAACATCTGCCGCAAAGCACCACCAGTTCATACAATGGCAATCATTACAGCGCCAAAATGACATGGTCACTCTTGTGCCCTATCTTTGCCGCAAAGCAAACGACATTCGCTTTCATTGGTTTTCTGCTTCGAGCTGGTTATGGATCTTCATCTGTAATTATATCAGCGGAATGATGCCATGATGTTCATGGTTAGCTCCCACAGCTTGCAATCCAGAGCTGGTCGATTCGAGTTAATCTTCCGGCATGGCAAATGAAACGGGCAAGTCTCTTAGATGCCCCCCCATCTACCTGCCCGCCGAGCAGCCAAAAAGAGTGCTTGCCGCCAGTCTTTCAGCAGGCCGTGAGATTACTCCACCTCGAGATGGACTCTCTTGAGACCCATCCCACCAGCAATTTCAGGGTTGTGCATTTACTCAGACCTATTTTATTAGCAAACCTTGTAAAGACCAGACTTTTCAGAGGGGAGTTAATAGTTGGTGTAACTAGACGTATTTCCACATGTAGACAAATAAGCACGTTATGATTAATCAAAACAATACGTAATGTTTCGATTTAAAGCTTTCGTGACTGCAAGGATTAATCTTCTTGGTTCTTTTGGTAAAGTCACGTAGAATGGAAATAATGAAATTATAATAAAAATTCATTATTTCCATTCTACGTGACTTTACCGAAAGAACCAAGAAGATGAATACGTAATGTTACATACGATTGCCTTTGTATTTTTCCTGTTGCTTTGTCTATTAATTGGCTGAATCCATTTAAATTAGTATTCAAACTACAAAAAACACATCCATTTCTAGACAGAGCAAACCTCAGACTTCACAATGAAGACATCGGCCAAGATCAATTCATGGCTGAAGGCCTCTCAAAGCCGTCACTACCCCCTCACGATACTGCGATGTAATAAAACACGGCTTGTCGCGGGGGCCTTCAACGTAGCAGTAAATAATGGCAAATTACAAGATTGAACAGACCTGGTGACTGAAAAGCTTTAGTTATTTCAAATCAATTAGTAACATTAAGACAAAACAATGACAGTTTTAAATGCAACATTTTGAAACAGCAAAGTTACTCTCTTACCATAAAATTGAGTTACCCCCCCCAGTGAAGGTCAACAATGTATTCCTGCCGATGCACAAACATAAAATGTTTTGTAATAACTGGCCTTAACATTAACATGGCCATGTAAAATCGCAGCATCCATATAAATCTAATAAAACATTGGTAGACGCAAAAGCATGAAAGCAAGTTGCTCATGCACTGCAAATTTTAACAAACGCAATCAAGTACGATCATTGGGTTTCTGAAATGTATATTTTTTCTGAAACAAGTGTCATTTATTTAAATATAAACTCGGATTATAGCCAAATTAGTGATAATGTGAAACACTGTAAAAGCTGCACATTGATCACAGTACATGACACCGATAATGGCAGTTATAGAGACAAATTCTAGAAAATGGTACATTACTTCAACTTATTTTAAAAGAGCAATCATTATTTTTAAAAGGTCAAATTATTTTTCCGCCAATTGAAACCCACATCATGTTGAAAATTAATAGTATGCCTGCACCTTGACATGCATTTGGACATAAATGCCAATAACTTTATGCATAAACATGTTATCACAGAATTATTATTATATGAGCAGAGGCAGTGGCTTACCGAGGCGATGCATTAACTCCAACAGCAAACATTCAAAATGAGCAATTCCAAACCAAAACGTGCAAAGTAACACAAGTGATTTAAGAGTAAAATCGCATCGACTCATAAGCGTCGTCTTTTAAGTGTCTTCAATGAATCTGGATAACTCCTGGGTGGAGTTCATGAGGTTACATTAGTTTCCTTAAAACCCTTATATAAGCAGAGGCAGTGGCTTACCGAGGCGATGCATTAACTCCAACAGCAAACATTCAAAATGAGCAATTCCAAACCAAAACGTGCAAAGTAACAAGTGATTTAAGAGTAAAATAGCATCGACTCGTAAGAGTTGCCTTTTAAGTGTCTTCAATGAATCTGGATAACTCCTGGGTGGAGTTCATGAGGTTACATTCATTTTCTTAAAACCCTGTTATTTCCATGAAGATATTTCACCCATGTATAGCTCGTAATTGGCCAGAATATCAGTGGCAAGAGACAGTGGCTCACAATCTTAAGAAATAGAGAGTTAAAATCCTAGTTGGTTGGGGATTAACTTGGCCAATTATCCCTCTGGGTCCAATAAAATAAGTACCACTTTTTTGGGAAGTCAACGGTAGTTTTCTTATGGATACTCACCCGTTCCATTCAGAACTTGGTGGCATTCTCAACCACTGGCTCAGGGCTTTAAACATACACGAGTACTTGCCTCAATGCTCATTTGAGCAGAAAGTCAAACTTTTCTGACAGGTTGTAATGCTATATGCAAACATAAAAACAGTAAAAATACCTAAAACTAGAAGCAAATTTTGGCACAAACACTCGAATGAAACAGTAGTCAATGAACAGGACTAAACTGGACTTCCTGGTGAATGGAGAGCCGCGAACATGTTGAGAGTTTGCTTTGCACTGCTCCATATTTTCGTTTTCAAAGTGCATTTCCAATTTGCACTTGTAAACATTTTAGGGGTCCCCCCCCCGACCACCATTGAGGACACTTATTAAAACAGCAACACAAACCACAGCTAAGCAAATTTTTTTTGTTAAACTTGTTTTTTGTCAGTATCGTAAATGTAACTTTTTTTTTGACCATCATGGCCACCAAACATAACGTGTATAATGACCAACACAAGCTATATTTTAGTTTCGTAACAATTCCACGTAAATTTCTGAAATTACGAAATGTGAATAGAGCCCACGAAAACCACAGCGGCTTGTACATGCTTTCATATCCAAAAAAATTCCACTTGCAAGCAACGATCATGTGTAGTTTTCAATTATAATTTAAAGCTTCGTCAAAATATTACAAGTGTCTAGTTGCGCCGCATTTGGTGTTGCCCGACGTTTCGTTCCAAGTACCAAGAGCTTTATCAGGAACTGGCATTCTACCGAACATGCCAAACAACCAAAAAAAACCAAAGCTATTCGCTCAAGCTATATTATTTTACAATACTTGTTTTGCGTATGGACTGCAGCCAATATTGAAACATCAAAGAACACGTCAGCACACGATGGTGTATATACCAGTAGACCAAGGGACAAGACAAATGAACACCGCTCGTTGCTGCAATGCCGCCCCATCTGCACATGAAGTCACTTCCTTCTGGCTCCTTCCCGGGCCAGCCGATCCGCAGCCTCATTACCTTTGTGGCCACTGTGACCCGGAACGTGCTTCTGAAAGACATAACAGGACACACACACACATCCATCATCATCATCATCGTGAAATAGTGACGTGTTCCCCACTTTCAAATGAATGTAAAAAATCTAAAAATATCTCATCTAAAGAAAACATTTTGGAAAATCCGAATTCCTTTGGATTTTTCAAAAAATTCGATGGTAAATGCAGTTACTTCCACGTCACGATTGCCGTGCTTCCTGCGAAGGTGCCATCAGGTGACAGTTAATCATTTCAACTTGTAACGCACACCGTATTCGCGCACTCCTGAAGAGAGAGGGGGACTCGAGGGGGCAAAGAGGAAGCAAGGGGGCAAGCAGGAAGGCAGCCACGCTTCGAGCCAGTGCCAATAATTATAATCAAACCTCTGCGGTCCTGTGTATATTAAGGTATTATACTGGTCAACATACTTTTTCTGGCATAAGGTAATTTTGGGGTGCTGATTCCAAATCTGGCATCAGTTTTTGTCTATCACATCAGGTTGTTGAGATATCAAATATTGCATTTTCAATAAAAACTGCAGAAGAAAAATATTAAATAAATGTGGATAGCTACATAAAATGATATTATAAAACACACTATCCTAAAAATACAGCACCATATTTTACCACTAAAGCAGTCACTGACTCGCAACAACTTGCAATTATAAGTGACAGAGTTAATTTCGGGTAAAAATCAATGAAAATGGGGTATGCCGATAGCATACGACGTTTCGATTTCAACACAAGCAATCATCATCAGGTATAATGAAATAGCGACATAGAATATAACCAGAAAACTATAGACAGACATATAAGCAGACAGATATCACCAAGATACATAGAGAGAGCAACCCAGGTACAGAGAGAGGTGATCGTCTCTGTGGGGTGCTCTCTCTATGTATCTTGGTGATATCTGTCTGCTTATATGTCTGTCTATAGTCTAGTTTTCTGGTTATATTCTATGTCGCTATTTCATTATACCTGATGATGATTGCTTGTGTTGCAATCGAAACGTCGTATGCTATTATTTAATTTATTATTTTATTTTTATACGTGACTTTACCGAAAAAACCAAAGAATAATTCCTGCAGTCACGAAAGCTCCAAAATTAAGAGGGGAGGACCTCGACTGCCACAGGAAGGGAGTTTCACAACATTTGTGTGATCGACACACTTAAGCGGTTTGTGCTTTCACTAAGTTGTCCCCACCTGAAGGACGCTTGTGTTGCGCCCGAAACGTCGTGATTTCATTTATTTAAATTTTTTACCTACGTGACTTTACCGAAAAAAACAAAGATGAATCTTTGCAGTCACGAAAACTTCAAATCTAGAATTTGTGCGATCTACCAACCCTCGCCTCCAGTGCTGGATTACAGGCGTGTGCCGAGAGTGGGGTCACGTTTACTTAAATTATACCCTTGTTAATTAACTCATTCATATTAGACAGTCAAAGTGATTTCCTGCTCAGAGCATCGAGGCAAAGCTCATCTCGTTTACAGCCTCAATCTAATTGTGGAATTCCACATTCCAATCGCAGGAGTGAGGCTATTGATAGAACGCACCTTTTCACTCCCACACTGGTACTAATATTATCGATTCCGGGAGGGATGATGGGCTCAGCCAACTCCCAACCAGGACCTTCCGATTGCAAGCTGCTTGCACTACCACTGCACAAACAGGCCCACTTATCAGATTGATACCTAAACGATATTTCTGTTGATTCAGCAGGCAAGCCCAACAGGCCTTACCCAAGTGACATCGATTCCCTGGCTCAGTCGATCCAGTTTCTGAAATTCAGCTTTGTTTTTCACCGGTTCTCCTGTGACAGTCTTCCATCCATTTTGCTTCCAGGTATTCACCCACTTGGTGGCACCTATAACACAGGAAAAAAACACTCAACATATAAGATATTAGCCCCAAATCTAAATAAATATGTTAGATCATGCAGGTGTAATAAAAGACTCGGACGCTTCTCTGTCCTGTGTCCTTTATTTGGGTTCGATCTCTTTTCCCTCACGGCACTCCCCCTTACTCTTCGCTCTTGCAGCCCCCCCCAGGCTGCTGTCGCTCACGTAGCCCACTTCTCTTCCTGCAGACCCGCTGCTGTCTCGTCGTGCAGACCCCCCCGCTGCTCAACCCCACCCTTGCAGACCCGCTGCTCTCTGCAGTCTTCTCGCTGCTCCTTCAGCCCCGGGGTCGGTCACCGTTGGCCGACGGTGCCGATCCTCGGGGTCTGTGTGTGTGGCGATCTCGCCACTCTCTCTCTTCCTCACTCCGCCCTGCGTGGCCTCACACCTTCCCAGTCTCCGATCACTCCCCTCTGCTTCCGGTTTCTCCCCTTATAGACCTGAACCCTCTGCCCCACGTGACGTAACTCCTCCCCCCATGACGTCACTTCCGGAAGGTCGTGTACGCCCGCATTACACAGGTATAATGTTAAAGATGTACCTTCCGCCACCACACACTGGAAATACCTTACACAAAAATGCATCGCGAATCATATTGGTCACTTATTTCATTTACAGCCCTTTGTCAATTCATTGCTAGATGTAAGCAGCGCTAAAAATCACGTTATGGGAGTTGTTTGACCATACTTCAGCGTGTGCGGATTGGTGTAAGCAAGGCTGGTTAAAATATCGCTTGCCACGGATATGATACACAGGTGGGATTCAAACTCAACTCGCCTTGTTCATAACGCAATGTGCCAACCTCGCAGAACCACCACCACAACCACCCCTCTCATCGACCAGAACCATCCAACAATAATGCAAAAACATACTACCGTGTAGATTTTCACGGCTGCACGTATCTCCGTGTCTTCCGGCTGGACCGCGTGTTGTTTAGCATGTCTGCCTTTAACATCTATGTTGGAAGCTTTTTCAGGAACTATAAGTTGCTCAAGTCAATTCCTGAAGCTTCCAAGGGTTCTAGCAAAAAATGTGACATCATGCTGAACATCACCTGAGGCAACCTGAAAACACATTGAAGCACTAAAGAAAAAATGTCCTATTCAATTGTGCACATGCATACTAACTGTAAGTGAACAAGCCGGATATAAATCTCTAGCAACACACCAAACTGTTCAGGAAGATTCAACTGTTCGTACCATCGATAGTGAATTTGCTGTCTGTGTGGATAGTCAGCTTGTCCAGGTTCATTTCCCGCGCTTGCTCCAGAGCGCGAGAAGCAGCCTACAAAACACAACCAGACATGCGTGATTACGAGGATTGAAACCCAAGTTGCCGCGATTTCGTTTTCACGACAAAAAAATTAATCTCACTCTGCGATGATTTCTCGTGATATTAACCACAGGCAGACCTCGCCGAACGCGGGAGTTAAGTTTTGGGAAATGCAGTGTTGGGCAAAACCGCGTTCAACAAATATACCTTCATGGGAAAAATAGGGTCAAGTTCCTGGGTTAGAAATGATCATTCCCTCCCCCCCTCTTTGTTTAACTAATTCTACATGATATCCGTCCTTGTTATTGTATGAAAGGATGCCGAGTGGTTCTCCATTTCTTGTGTGTATACACAGCTTTTTTTTTATTTCACCTCAACACAAACAACTTCCCGCGCCGCGGCACTAGCACCCAACGTTCGCCCCTCATACCGAATTGTCAGCCCGACGCTCGCCCCGTCACTTGAATGTCAATGATTTGCCATGAACGTGTCCGTCTAACGTCCTCAACAACCGGACGGTTAGATGCATGCGGAAACATGTGAATATTTGCATTGTGCCGTTGTCCGCGAGTGTGGCGAGTGTATTAGATTATCACACAAAAACATACATTGTAATTTAATCTTCTTGGTTCTTTTGGTAAAGTCACGTAGAAGGGAAATAATAACAAATACAACATAATAAAATTCTCAGGACGTTTTGGCCACAACGCAAGCAGCCGTCCTCAGGTGTGTGTTGTCTCCAAAACATCGTGATTTTTATTTTATTAATTTGAATTTTTTACCTACGTGACTTTACCGGAAAAAACCTAAGAATACGAATCCTTGCAGTCACGAAAGCTTCAAATCTAGAAGCATACCCTCCTCTTCTTGTCCGTCTTGGAGACTTTGGTGCCAGCATCCCTTCTGTTTGCTAGCCATCTCCCTCTGTCTGACCTTTTGCACAACTTTCATTCGATGAACAATAACCAACCAACCACCCGTAACTTTGCATAATATTTATACATTTCCCATTATTTTCTTCTCTCTTCCTTTTTCCACAAGTTATATCCTTGATTTTAGATTTGAAGCTTTCGTGACTGCAAGGATTCATATTCTTAGGTTTTTTCGGTGTTATGTAGGCTAGGCGTTAGTCACAAACCGCACCTCTCCATAACAAAGGCTCAGTCATTTGTTATGCAGTCTATTCTTAGTCTTAAGCCTCACCTTACCATATTAATAAAAAGTGTGCCGTTCCTGGCCATGCCCCCCTCAACCATTATATATACGGAGTGGTATCTCCTGTAATTCCTCATTTACTTGATACAGCTGTCGGGCTGTGACGGTTCCACCTGAAGACGGAAGCTTGTGTTGCCTCCGAAACGTCGTGATTTTTATTTTACTTTTATTAATTTTATATCCTTGACTCAATTCCCCCATGGTGTGCCACGGGTAAAAGCTTCTATACCCCCTGCATACAGATCAAATTCGACTTGTAACCTTTCGCAAGGCAGTGCTCAAAAGTCACTCTGATAAGCACAATTATTTAGCAGTAAAGGAGAACAATTAAAGCAGACGTTACTCACTTCTATTTCTGCCCTTTGGTTGGTCGGGCGTCCTCCAAGTCTTTCACTTACGTTCCTGCAAGTGAAAAAAAACGAAATTGGATCACCACATTACAGGCCTAGCAAACAAAGCGATTGCACGAGTGAAGAAGCCATTATGAAAGGAAGAAGACTTACATTGGGTTTCCTTCACCCCAGTACACGCCTACCCCTCCAGAGGCCCCTGGCTGGCCGTTCCTCGTGCAGCAACCGTCCGTATACACGGGCACGCCATCTAGTGGAACAACACTTACATTTTTCCACACTGCGTATTGTTTGGTGGTTGTGCTGCGTCGCCCATCGAAGTGTTTTTGGATTGTACCGTGTGTTGTATGGCACGATGTCTGATGTTTCGCTCGAATTACTGGGAGCTTCTTCAGGACTGATTTCAGTTCTTGACGTTTCCTGCCAAAGCTAATTTATTATCCTTACCAGTCAATAGGATGTCTCTGATTTGTGTCATTCTCTGACCCACGTGCTCCGCTTTCCATTTCTCAGCTGAATGCAGTTCCTGAATTTCCTGAAGCTTCCAGCATGTGTAGTCAAGACATCATGCCGAACAAATTATGCCAAACACGCGGTTCAATCCTCCCCACACCACGATTTGCTCATTAGATATTTACATTTTATGATAGCTTTTATATGCAGCTGCATACCAAGAAAACATAAGTAGACGAAAATGTATTTGCATAGAAGTGTGGAAAGGCAGCGAGGGCTGAAAGGAGAGAACCACTTAATGGCCAAGCTCGGAACAGGGAAACGTGGGTTCAGCACAAACAAGCTAAATATATATCACATTCTTTCGGTCTTTCGATACATACTTTGATACTGGCAAAATGGTTCCATTTTGAAGCTAAATATAAACACATCTGCTCAACCATCCAATTTACAGAGGACGAAACTGTTGAAATTCAATATTTACCTTTTAATGCACGATGGGTTTAATTTTTATTTAAAGCTTTCGTGACTGCAGGGATTCATCTTCTTGGTTCTTTCGGTAAAGTCACGTAGAAGGGAATAAAACAATATAAATATAAAATAACACAAGCAATCATCATCATAATGATTGCTTGTGTTGCAGTCAAAACGTCGTGAGAATGTTTATTGTTTCATATTAATATTATTTTATTATTTCCCTTCTACGTGACTTTACCGAAAGAACCAAGAATAATGATGGATTTGTTTACACGTTGAGCAGCTCAGCCTATCACTGGCTGTGGCTTCTACCCTTGCAACCACTACCATCGCCTGGGGTTGCCTGGGCCATTCGGAATGGAACTCATCCTTCCACTTCCAGCGTGTACCTGAACACTGCGTGTGTTCGTATCTCGATCCATATCCAGAATCATAGGAGTCGCGGTAGCCACTGTTGAATTCAGACAGAGCAATGCAAAGTTAGTAAAGGCGGGCCTCGCTTTTACGATACAATGCGTTCCTGGAAACAGCGTCGTCGCAAAATTGGACCATATTTTCCCCATGGACAAGTAGAAACATCACTTGTCGATGTATTTTTTCTTTTGTCAGCCATATTTAAGAGGCTTTAATTCGTAAAAATCCATAAAACACTTGAGAACAATACAAGTTCCACGGCAAGCCACATCAGAAACCAGACTGTTCAGTCAGGTCGAAAGAGGAGTTGTAAATCAAGTTTCCGAGCCATAAATTGATCTGTAGCAGCCCTATATAAACTTCGTAAACGTGGATTGTGGTAAACTGGACCATCGTAAACCGGCGACCGTCTGTATTATACAAAAAAAGTATTCCGTGCTGTCAATCTGTAGGGTCGTTGCAAAATGCTCCTTGAATTTAATTTCATAATGCACTACTAGCAAGCTCACATAGGGACAGTGAATGGTCAACTGCCTGAATGACGATTCTTTCCTTGACAAAGGATGGCTGGGTACAACATGGCATTCACAATCATAGGTGAGATCAGTTTCACAGTCGCCAATACACAACATGCCTGGACGTGTACATAACTGGCCAGATTGTGTTGGAAGAGATCGGAGTACACCAGTCACTGGGAATGGGTGCAATGCCATCCATGCCCACTCTGTGGCGCTGTAATTGCTAAATGTTGCTGCCAAATCAGCAGGTCTGGGGCAATAGGGGAGGGGGGGGGGCAACTGCAACGCTGCAGCGTTAAAGAGACCAACATAATTACAGTACATAGCGGCAGGCAGTGGGAGTAGAGCCGGGAATGGGACCCGGTGCGAGACGAACCGACTACATTCTCTGCTCGACAGTGAACCCAGCGACGGTAGTTTTCAGTGACAGCGCCATCAACATGCCGACTTGCCTTTGCCACTTTCGCTGTTGGACATCAGTCCGTGCGAGTGGCCGCCGCATTGGAAACCATTGGATTCGACGGCACGATGGGTTCTTTTCATATTTGGGGCGTCACGGTGGCTCCGAGATGTTAACCACCTCGCCTGGTATACACGAGGTTGTGGGTTCGATACCGACTCTGGTCGCCTGCTGCTGTATATTTGGAGTTTGCGCGTTTTCTCTCGCAGTGGTCGCGTGGATTTTTTTTCTTCTGGGTATTCCGGTTTTGTGCTATACTCGACTTTATTGAGCCAACATGTCTGTGTGTCCCGCGCATGACGTCACTCCACGTCGGCCAGCCCCCCTCATTAATCATCATGAGCGGGTGACGTCACTCCACATAGGGGGGGGGGGCGAGGCGCTTCCTCCCCCCCCTCCTCAGCTTCAACTCGCAACCCTCACTACACAGAGACATGGGGGGGGGGGGGCATGGAAGCTCACCGCGAGTCGTAGGGGTCCCCCCCCCTCTGGCCGCCGTAGGAGTTGCGAGAATTCCACGCCATTTGTGTTGTAGCTGGGCGCGAGTAACAACAACAAGAACACCGCACCAGTTGTCACGGCGTTACACCATCGCACGGCAAAACAGCACAAAGACAATGCACCATCAGGGAGTTTACGGTGTCTGTGCTGTATGTTGAACTTCTTTCGCACCGTACGTAGACAACCGTGCTAATCGGAGGTGCCGTCTCAATCCCGGTTACATTCTCTTAAATCAATCCCTCGTGAAATTCCATCACGATCCCCAAATATCCCTCGAACATCAAATGCCACCTACCCCACCACCACCATCATCATCCTATTGGTCGCATACATCAGCAATGACCGATCCACTGCTGGATGAAAGCTACCCCAATGATTGCCATCCTGTTTCTCGTGACGCAGTCCACAGAGTTCATCTCGCTATTGATACCCCTCCGTGTGTGGCCTCTCGTGTGTTCTCTGCCCTGTGTGGGTGTTGAACTTGTCTCGCACCTTGACGCACGACCAACCAACCTCGCCATCGGCATCGCGGGAGGCCTTCGTCCAGCAGGGGATCCACCATGGCCGATTAAACGATGGCCCAATTTTATTGGTTATTTCGGTAAAGTCACGTAGAAGGAAAGTAATAAAATAATAAAAATAAAATATAATATTTTATTATGTTCTTTTTTAAATTATTTTATTAAAAAATATATTTTATTTTTATTATTTTATTAAAATAACCAAGAAGATGAATCCCTGCAGTCACGAAAGCTTTAAATCGAAAGATTGCCCAATTTTTGTAAAACTGGATTACATTGACGTCCAACTAACAGCAGAAAGGATCGAACTTATAAACGTGCTTTATAATCTTAAATTAATATTGGATATTGAATTAACAATATTAAATGGACAGAGCGGGAATTCGTCATTTTCCCGCCAAATATCCGAACACCGCCAACCCGCACAATCCAAACAATTGCGAAATAAACAATTACACATTCGAGACATCGACTGCTAAAATTATAACTACGACTAAAGCAACCGACTAAGTTACCTAAGATGTCGACGTCTTATTTACGTTCGCGCTGAAACGCAATTGGTCCTCAACAGCACTGATCGATCGACTGCTGGATGAAGGCCTCCCTGAAGCCTTCATCCCTCGACGAGGCCCCCCATTGCATCGCTCCACATTCTCTCAAAACGCGTTCCACACCTAACCAGCAGAGTACGACTGCGTTGTTTTCCCGCACGAAGATTTAAAAAGTGTTCCCCTGGCATCCTCTGCGAGAGATGATTGTATCGACGAGCAAAGTGTATGCGCCATTAACGACCGAACACGTGGCACCGTAATCAAAAACAAGATGGCCACGTTGAAGTTGAGTCGTCTAAATTCACCGACTAAATCACGCTCACACCTTACCTGCTCAACGAAAGCCGGGACGACGGCAAAGAAATCAATCGAAGTGCGCTTATAATAATCGCGAACGTTAGCTTGTTAGAAGACTAAAGTTAGTTGCTACTACACCTTCTTGACTTCACTCTGACTGCAGACAAACGTCGGCGTGACTGGGTCGGGACTTTTATAGAGGGCGACGCTTCCATCACCAGCCAGAGCCCGCCCATCACCACACACAGGCAACGCCCTCCTCCTGCTCAACTCAATTCAGACCCTATTGGTCACACCGTGGTGCCCTTAAACATCTCAACATTCATCCTACAATGTCCCGGCACAAGCGAGAATAATAATAAAAAATAGACAAAAACATTTTTTGCCCGGTTTTGAAAAGGCTGTTTTCCGTGTGGACCTGAAAACTCAATTTCCCTTTACAGGAATACAGTTAAACCTCATGGGTTGGACACGGTATCAAATTTCCTCGTCTCATCCCAAAGGTGTCTCTCCACTCCCTCTGAAAAATAAAAACTTTCCTCTTCTTTTCTCAAATTCCTCACCTTGTCAATTTCACGTACAGTGTGTTGAACTTCTTTCGCACCGTACGTAGACAACCGGGCTAATCGGAGTTGCAGTCTCAATCCCGGTTCAATTCTCTTAAATCAATCCCTCGTGAAATTCCATCACGATTCCCAAATATCCCTCGAACATTAGATGCCACCCGCCCCACCACCACCATCATCATCCCCTTGGTCGCATACATCAGCAATGACCAATCCACTGCTGGATGAAAGCCTCCCCAAATGATTGCCACTCCTGTTTCTCGTTATGAAATCCATATGGTACCTACACGTGAACAGAGTTCATCTCGCTATTCATATCCCGCCGTGGTTGGCCTCTAGCATGTTCTCTGCCCTGTGTGTTGAACTTCTTTCGCACCGTACGTATCCAGCCGTGCTAATCGGGGGTGTGGTGGGTGAAGGGCGACACACTAAATACAAAAAAAGTTCTAAATTAACAAAAATCATTTTCGATTTAAAGGTGCAAAGCTCCCAGGTGGCTTCCTGGCTGCCACTCTCTCCATTGCCATTCTCGACTACGATATTTTGTAGAACGCTTAACTCTTTCTCAAAATAATAAAAATAAAACATAATAGAATAATACAATTCTCACGACGTTTCGGCCACAACGCAAGCAGCCGTCCTATTCTTCACCTGAGGACGGCTGCTTGCGTTGTGGCCGAAACGTCGTGAGAATTTTATTATGTTGTATTTTTGTTATTTTATTATTTCCCTTCTACGTGACTTTACCGAAAAAACCAAGAAGATGAATCCCTGCAGTCACGAAAGCTTTAAATCGACAAATCTTTCTCAAAAATCAACACTACATCTCTAAATAGCATTTGTCGCTTCCGATTGATGTCTCTCAGTGTGACGTCAAGTGTTCATCTCTCCCACGTTTCTTTGTGAAAGTGTTCAGTTTTTGTTCCATCCTCTTCAGTGTCCACGTGTCCAATCCACGTTGCAGCAGATCGTACGCATTCATTGAAAGCGTTCATCTACTGTGTTCGGGAAATCTGGACGGTGCCTTTGATTGTCAAATTCGGTTTAAAGAAAGTTAGGCACCATTGGGGGAAAATGTGTGACCGTACTTTTAGCACGTTTGTTACATTACAGTATACATCATATGAATTCTAGATTTGAAGCTTTCGTGACTGCAAGGATTCATATTCTTAGGTTTTTTCGGTAAAGTCACGTAGGTAAAACATCAAAATTAATAAAAAATAAAATAAAACAAAAATCACGACGTTTCGGAGGCAACACAAGTCTCCACCTGATGACGGAGACTTGTGTTGCCTCCGAAACGTCGTGATTTTTGTTTTATTTTATTTTTTATTAATTTTGATGTTTTACCTACGTGACTTTACCGAAAAAAAACCTAAGAACATCATATGAATGTTATACAATTATACTGGCATTTTACGCTATTCTACGTATTAAATTGTCATTATTTATTTCGTTTGTAAGCTATTCCAGTGAACTGTGCCGCGCATGATTCATCTCCTACTTGCGAAAAAAAAGAAACAATGAAATCAAATTGTATCTCAGCCGTCCGATGTCTGTCATCTACAAAGTAAAGGTCACGCGAGGTGGCCCCTAAACTGTGACCTCGTGATTTACGATCGCATTTCATAACGAGAGCGTGTGACACCTTCCCTGCCCAGCGGCTCACTCTGGGCGCAGTGTTTTTATTTGAGGATTCGCTGCCGTGCAGCATCAGCAGCAGCAGCTTCAGCAGCAACCCCATGTGGCATCGCTCGCATTCTCGCACAGCAAGAATGCGGTGCAGAGATGCGTAGACATTTAAAAGCATCCGCCGTTCACATGGCACCTGTAAGCCAATGTAGTAAAAGAAACACTGGTGGACATATCAACTTTGGAATTCACTCCAATCATCTCTCTTTCCACCAAGCTCTTATAACTTTTCACAATTCAAGAAGCGCATTGCCATATGCTTTGCATGAGGTGCACATTCCCCCCACTGTATTTTAAAGACAATGTTTGGGGTGTATCTTATAGTCTGGTAGCTGTGTGAGTATATTTGTATAACTACACGAACACGAGGCACAAGTATTCTTTGGGTCTTTCGGTAAAGTCACGAATATAGGTTCAAATTCATAATAAATAAATAAAAAAACACGACGTTTCCATCACAAGCGATGGTAATCTTTCTCCTGGTGACGATCGCTCGTGTTATGTTCGAAACGTCGTAATTTTCTTTATTAATTTGAACCTACCTACGTGACTTTACCGAAAGACCCAAAGAATATGAATTCCTGCAGTCACGAACGCTTTAAGTCAAGATCTTACTAGGCACAAGGTTGGGGTGCATGTTAACACATTCCTGCGGAGGGAGCTGGTAAGAGCGTTGGGTTGCTCGGTCAATGGCCAGGGTCAACGGCAGCGTGGTGTATTCCGCAAATATGCCCGACTGTGAGGGTGGGCACAATCCGGCGTGAGTAGATTAAACGTTGAATTTTATAAGGGCACCACGGGGTGACCAGCCCCTCCCCACCCAGCCCTACCCCTCCCAACCCCTCCCCTCCCTCCCCACCCAGCCCCTCCCTGCACGACGGACGGACACAATAATCCCCTGTGAGCTGGTGTAACCAGGAGGTTCCTACCAGTATAATGCAGAGAATATGGTAACTGCATGAGGTTCCTACCAGTATAATGCAGAAAATATGGTAACTGCATGACACCTTCAACGTGGAAGAGTAGGCCATGAGCAAGTAATTGCAGAGCTGTACCTGCACTTTTCGCACCTAAAATTGTAATAAAACGTCAAATCAAGATGTAATAGGCATGTTTGCTGCAGGCCGCTTGGCGATTTTGGCTTGTGCTCGGCGACTATTTATAATAATAAAAAAAGCTCCAGAGCTTCCGCGTTTTGCAAATACTGTACTTGAGGTGTCTGCTATGAAGGGACATTGCCTGAAACGTCTTTATTCATCTTCAGGACAATGTTGTTGACAAATATGATTTGTTCTTGAGCATAGCACAGTATTGTGGTTGTTTAAGCCAAGTACTGTAATGTACTGAAAATCCCTCGAGTCCTATCCGACGTTTGGGTTATATAACGTATGTTAAACTGTTGTTTGCTGTTACATAAGCCTTACCAACCTGCAATACAGAGCTGTAACGTCATATATATATGCAATACTCTCAGACAAGAGATAAGTCAATTATTCGAATGCTTGATCCTCCTGAAAAAAGTCTTAAGTCTCAGCGATATTTTAATCTGGATAACCAAATTGAATTAACTCGTCGCTTATTAATCCACTGCTGGATAAAAGGCGTTGCTATCGATCACGGTTCTGTGATGTAACAATCCATCCAGCACCTGCACACGAGCAGATTTCAGCACTCCATCCCTGCTATGTATGGAGTCTCGTACGTATTCCATTCCTTGGCCGCTATTCCGTCACTAATCTTGACCATTTCCCTAATTTTAACATCCCATCCCAGGAGGTTAAAGTAATTGTCATTGCGTATTTGGATACATTAATTTTCACTTAAGTTGGCGGCGTGCAGTTCTGTGGACATGCAAAATGCACCTAATGCACTGGTACTAGTTTAACATAATAGATTAAGTATAGGTATTATAGACTAAATCTGCCGGAATGTGCCTCCCCATATCTCGGAAGACAAGCAGGTTGGAGCCTGCAGTGCTTGGATGGGTAACCACCATATATAAGAGGTTGTCAAAGCTATTAGAAGCAGAGGACAGTGCAGAACAAACTATGGTTTGTAAGCATAAATCCAATAACCCGCACACTACACGGAGTCAAAGATTGTTGGATGCGGTTAATTGGATTTATGCTGTACTCTATGTCTGTGCTTATGCTTCTGCATCGATCATTACGGTGAAGTGCTGGTCAAATAACCTCCACAACCTCCACAGCACGATAGCCTCATCCAGCAGTGGATTAACAGAAGGGCTGTACACGTACGGTACTATAAACTGTTATGTGGCTATTAAAGGCAAGACACACACACATCATATTTCTAAAAAAGACGCACAGGGCAGACTAAACTTAATGAAATAATGGCACATGACACTGGCAGTCCATTGAAAAATAACTACTTTACTTGTTATTAGTCATACTTATATAGCACTTAGAACTTAAAACAAGCATAGTTTATCATACATGTGTAGAGGTTATGCTAAAACTGAGAACAATAACAAAATACCAGAATATGTATAGATTTTACAGGGTCAGGGTATAAAACTGAAAAAATATTGCACGTGTTGTGTATGAATAATACTTCTGCACTTTTGAACGAGTTTTTTTTCTTCTCTAAAACACTTTGAACAAGAAAAAAAAATACAGATGCTACTGAAAACTTGGGAGGAAAAATAAAATCGTACAAAAATAAGTATCCCATTTTACAATCCATAAGTACTTTAGCAATACACATTTATAATATACATTTTTCTGTAGATGTTTTCAAACTATATCTTAACGACATAAAATGTTAAAGCAAATGCAATTCTTATTGTCCGAAAGCACCTTCCGTTACGGCATAAAGAGAGTAACACACACACACACACGCGCGCGAGCGAGCACGCCGGGTACTGCAAACACGGGCCACCAACGCCTCCTTGTCCCCATGGATGTCTGGCTGTAGTGAAGGGTTTCCTGTCCCCATCCCTGTGTACGACAGCGTCCGCTCAGGACTCCTCCGTGACACGCGACTCCGCCAGGAGACAACGGAGAAGTTGCCACGCACAGAAGCGGCTCGGCCACTTAAGGCCGACTCGGTATGACGAGGGGTGTGGGGGGTGGTTTAAAACAGCGCACGTGGGAAAGCAGCGATGTGGCGATGCCGTCACATTTGTCATGAGCTAAGTTCCTCCTATCCAGCA